CTGGGGCCAATTTCACGGCGCTGCTAAGCACAAAAATTTGCTTAGCACAAAAAAAAAGGTCTGGCTTATAAAAGCAGGTTATCAGCCAAAACTCCATGTGATGTATATTGCTCGTGATCGGTATTCAGCTGTATTCAGCTGCTGTTTGCTTAGCATGAACACCACATGGAGTTTTGGCTGGTAACCTGCTTTTATAAGCCAGACTTTTTTGTGCTAAGCAAATTGTTGTGCTTAGCAGCTCTGTGAAACTGACCCCAGAGCACGACTTGCACGAGCCTGGTGCCACCGCAGAAAATGGCCGTCGCTGAATTAGTCTATACATTGTAGCTCCAGACAAGAGACTGTCTTCAGCTTTTATGTCATTCCCTTGATGCTGCATTGACCTGTAAGATATCAGTTCCCCGAAACCAGAGTATCTAAGACAACAGAGGCATGATATGTTTTCAGCTGGTGAGACTGTGAAAACAAAAGACGAGAATTGTATCCAACTCTCTGGCCAATCATTTACAGAAAACTAATGAGATTGCGTAGTGCAAACAGGTTCTTAATGCTGATGGCCCGGTGGGACAGCGGTTGCAATTTCACGGAACATAAATCAGTCGCTTGGATCAGTGGATAGGATTCATTAACCTCAACTCCCCAGGCATTTTTGCTGGGATGTAACCTCAATCTTGCAAAATCCCCATTATTTCTTGAATGTGGTCCTTGGAGAGGTGACCACTGCCTCGATTCTGCAAAATTGTCCGGCCGTCACTGTCAATATGTTGAGGCAGAGCCAGTGACATCCTGGAGCAGTGCAGAGGATTTCAAGTATAATCTAAGCCTAAATTTATGCACGGCTGAGTGTAAACTACATAAGGTCCAGCCTAAGACCATGACACAGTGCATCCTCCAAAATCAGCCGCACCTTTTTGCCATACCCTCAATCCTGCAAAATCCTCCATTTTGCAAAGAGGATTTGGGAGGATTTGGGAAGACTAGGGTTAATAAAAAAAACTATGTGGGAAAGGAAATATGAGGTTTTACAACTTAAAGGCATATGGGATTGTTTGCATTTATCCCAAAAGTAACCTACCAAATTATTATCAAAAAACCTTCTTGTATTAAAAATTGTACTGGTACTAAACACCCCATGAAATTATTCCGTCTGTCTTGCTGTCATTTAGAAGAAAACAAAGAACGTAGGTGATTTCCAACAATCAATCAATTGACTAATTTTTGGAAATACAGAGTGCTATAGATGAAATCGCCTTTTGTGATCAAAAGGTTGTGCATGGTTTTTCGCTGTTTCGTCCAAAAGTATAATATCCACTGAGCTGCAAGTTCAACAGGTTGGGTTTTGAACATTCTTCTTTGGATTTCGAGTTGTGTTATTATTGGAAATGAACAAAATGCATGAAAAGCAAATGGTCCTGTATGCCTGTAAGACCATGGGATTTTTTTTCTCTGAAATTGAGAATTTTCATTCAACAAATAACATTTTGTTATTTTTTCTCCTGAAATGGTGATTTATTTGCTGAATCAGTTCAAGCTGTCATCGAGATTCAGACTTTCACATCCGAATACAAGTATCAGCCCAAATTTTGTATTCACTTAGCTCATCGTAAAATCCATTTACCCCTCGCACAGCGAGCACAGCGAGTAAATCTCAATTTTCGGCATGAAGTGGTTATTCCTCTTGCCGGCCAGAACCTGTCAAAATCGCTACGGGCAAGACCTCAACAAAATTAGCATGAAGTTGGTATTTACAGAATAAATATTAGCCTAGTATGTGTACGTGTAGGGGAGAAGCCTCATACTATGAGGCAGGCACGTTTCAAATTTTAATATGGCGTTTGTATGGATAGCGTACATGATGTATAGATAATGTATAGAGTAAGCAACGTCGATATCAGAATTTTCAATAATTGATTTATAGGAAATCCAATTTTGAGAATATTCAATATAATGGATTATAAAAGACCACAAAAATGACATTTTGATTAAAAAAAAAAAAAAAAGCCTCACGGCTTTCTCTGGAGCATATTGCTCAAACTTTTAAAACAAATCTCACTGAGAGTTTGTCCAGAAAGGGCCTGGTTGCTGATAATGTCCCTCGCCTTGGCTTGGGCCATTAAGCAGCAACGTATAGGCCCCTAGTAACTTGTATAAAACCGGCTAAGCGAATATTTATTCCCTTATTGACATCTACATTTATCAGCTGGCAACCTGATTTCAGCCAGCACATTTTGTATGGGCATTGCTAAGCATTTTCCCTGTACCCAGCAAACTTGCGTGCTAAGCTTTTTCCCTGTACCCAGCAAACTGGCGTGCTAAGCATTTTCCCTGTACCCAGCAAACTGGCATGCTAAGCATTTTCCCTGTACCCAGCAAACTGGCGTGCTTAGCATTTTCCCTGTACCCAGCAAACTGGCGTGCTTAGCATTTTCCCTGTACCCAGCAAAATGGCGTGCTAAGCATTTTCCCTGTACCCAGCAAACTGGCGTGCTAAGCATTTTCCCTGTACCCAGAAAACTGGCGTGCTAAGCGTTTTCCCTGTACCCAGCAAACTGGCATGCTAAGCATTTTCCCTGTACCCAGCAAACTGGCGTGCTTAGCATTTTCCCTGTACCCAGCAAACTGGCGTGCTTAGCATTTTCCCTGTACCCAGCAAAATGGCGTGCTAAGCATTTTCCCTGTACCCAGCAAATTGGCGTGCTAAGCATTTTCCCTGTACCCAACAAACTGCATGCTAAGCATTTTCCCTGTACCAAGCAAACTGGCGTGCTAAGCATTTTCCCTGTACCCAGCAAACTAGCATGCTAAGCATTTTCCCTGTACCCAGCAAACTGGCATGCTAAGCATTTTCCCTGTACCCAGCAAGCTGGCGTGCTTAGCATTTTCCCTGTACCCAGCAAACTGGCGTTCATGCTAACTCAATGAAATTGCTTTCAGGCCTTGTACATATGTAATTAAATGATGCTCATGTGCGTCTACATACTTGTACAATGTACCTCAATGTTATTTTAACTAGTAGACATGGCCTTTGGTCATGCCACCTTTGATTGAATTAGCTCTTGCATCACAGAAGAACATTGAAAGTCGCTTAGAAGACTCCTTGCATAAACAGTACATAGATGGCACTTCCTTGCCACTCGTAAGAAAGCTTGGAGTTGGGAAGCACTGCACGCAGGTACTGACTCAAGCATGTATGTGTATGGAGCTGAGTAAATTGGTCAGGATTTTTCCTGATTTCAGGATTTTTGCCGATTCCGGGATTTTCATCAGGATTTTTAAGGAATCCCTTTTAAAATTGGGAATTCCTGAGGCTTAATACCTTAACCCTAATCGCCCTGAATCCTTCAAAATCCTCTTTGCCAAAGTGGAGGAATTTTGGAGGATTTAGGTTACATGGCAAAAGTGCGTTACCGATTTCATAGGATGCAGTTTGTCAAGGTCTTGGGCCGGACCTTGTGTTGTTTTTGCTCACCATGCATAAAGATACAGGCCTGGATTAAGCTTGAAATCCCCCGTACTGCTCCAGGATGTCACTGGCCAAGCCTCAACATATTGACAGTCACTACCACAGAAATTTGCAGGATTTAGACAGTGGTCACTCTCTACAGACCATATTCAGGGAAATGATGGAGGATTTTGCAGGATCGAGGCTACATCCTAGCAAAAAGGCCTAGGGAGTTAGGGTTAAAGGTGGTTTACCTATGAAAGTTGATAAAAAAGAAAGAACTTGGCATTTTAAGGTTCCTTAAATTTAGGCAAATATAAACATACACCATTGACTCTACATTGCTCTGAGGCCCTCGCGGTCTGCATTTATGGATAGTATGGGAACCTGGTACCCAACTGAAGCAAAGCACAGGTACCCATAGAAAAAAAAAACAACTCAAAATTCAAATCCCGTAGGTTGTCTCAACGGCTTAATAGCTTTACGGTGTAATCTGCACAACTTTTGTGAGTGTCATCTGTCGCGTGTTAAAATGCACATAAACGTGAAATCTGTTTTGGTTTTCAATGTAGCCTGGTTTTCAGTTTGAAAATTTCCCACAATATGGCATTCAAAACCTTTCTTTTTCATTGTCTGAGAAGTTACTAAATCTTTTGTAGCGTTGGTTATGGGTACCCCATCCCAGGATCTTGAAACGGTTTCTGACATCAGCGGTCGGGTACCGGATTCTGATGCACAGCCCTATTGGCAACCTTCAAACTGTCTGCCGATTCAACTATTTCGAGAATTTTTCATTTTCTCTTAATCTCACTCGGGGTCCACACCTAGGGTTCACCAATGCTGTACATCAAACCCAGAAACAGAAGACTAAAGTTGACCTCATTAACGACCAAATATAACCCAGCCAAGCCAACCGGATCGTATCACTGCCGAGCATGTCAGAAGTCAATTGAGCCATCGTCTCAGTTCCCCAAATCCTGCGTTTTGTCTTTCAGCGACCCATGCCTTATTTAATATCCAATACCCCTATCCCCGGCTCGAGTGTCTCCAATTAGCCACGGTGATCGAATTAGCGGCGTCTCTTTTCATAATTACCTCGCGATTGCCTGCAGACAGTCATTTCTCTTCATTAAAAGATACCGCTTTCTCAAACGGAATGACGCGAACCAATCCAAGTGACTCTATTTTAGTTTTAGTCAGCCAGGTGAGATACAATGCTGTTACTATGGCAACATCGTTCATGTATACCCATTCCCACACATATTTCATCATAAGTGCCCCTTCATTTTGAAGGCCACTACTTTATGACCCCCTCATGAAGAGAAGAATATGCCTTTTGTTCTGCAGACAAAGAAGTGATGGTACCCTTACTGCATGAAGATGAGTTGTCCTTGATATGAAACTGTATTTTATGCGTGTACGGAGAGAAACCTGCATGTACAACGTATGTGTGTTATTCATTGAATACAACATCTCATTGCATTCGTATTGTGAGTTAGAGATCTGATTACAAGTGATTTGAGCCAGATTGATACCAAAAATACACCAAGTCTTTGGATGTTGCTGGAGAATTTCACGTGAGTTGAAGTACATGTATATCTGTTTGGTTCAACGGCCATCAGTTCTTGCTGAACAGCCAGAATTTGTTCTCGTTGTCTTGACAAACTTCAAAAGAGCTAGTTCACAAGATGGAATTTGCGTCGGGTGATGTAAATCCAGTATTGTTGTTGTTCTTTTTTTTCAATTTTTTGTAAATTTGTGAATTTTTCTCACAATCACCGAGCAGTTTGTTAATTTTTCTCACAATAACACGGGACAATGCTGAGTATACATACACAGTGTATATAAAAAAAAAACCAAGCTCGATCGGATATATCTCGGAAGCTGTGGCCAACGAATTCGTGTTCATGCATGAGTCACGTGATTGTGCCATGCAATTTCTGGAAGGAGTAGTGTTTTGAGTAAAAACATCAGGTTTTTTTACCCCAGTGACCCCATGATGACCTTTGACCCCAGGTTGGTCATGTGACATGTAGGGGTTGGGCTCCTGATACTTTTGACAACGTTTGGTTGAAATTGGTCAAAATATGTAGGAGCAATAAGACAATGTCAACATTTGTTACTAACTAGAACGGACTAACGCAGCTAAAAATTAGTCGGTGCAGGGCAAAACCCAGTATTGAATTCAAAGAGTAGAAAATATTAATGCTCTGTAAATTTATGGCCACGCTTGAAATACTTGGCTAATGCTAGAATCAACACAGGGGTCTATAGTCGCGTGTGTAATTTCTAGACGTTGCCAATATATTCGGACACGGCCTCATGTGCTTAGCAAGAAACAGCCGAGCAGTTTATAGTATTTTATACACTAGGTTCTAAACCCGTTTCTGCTAAGCAAATATTTTCCACACTTAGCAAAAGTTTGTTTTGAGCATTTCAATGAAATCAGCCCCAGGTCTTAATAATGACCAGCAGATGAAATTTTCTCAAGATGCGGATACTTCAGCAATGATATTAATGTAACGTTTACATTGAATTAATGTACTGTGTGTTTGTAGACATACTCCAGATGAGTGGGTCCGTTAGTACACACTCTTAAAAATGTATCTCTGGCTGCACATTGATCGGCGTCTGAGTGCCGATAGCTTATAAATGGCACTTACAGATGTCTCCATGTACGCTCCAAGGTCTTATTTGGAGATGGAGTACGATACACAAATGACTTTGTAGATGATAATTTGAAGGAGTCAAGATGATACACTCATATTCAGTCTGCATGTTTTCATCCAAAGAGTTTGTTAGTTTTAAAGGGAAGATACAACATTTGCCAACATCAAAAAACAAAAGTATCAAATTATAACAAAATATCTTACTTGATTGTTAGTGAATGACAGTATACATGTAAAGCATCCTGTAAAATCTTGGCTCCTGGTGTGCTGAAATTTTCAAGAAAACTTGTATTTTTCCAACACTGGTCGGCCGACCATCGTTGGAGAACACTGTTTTTTTCTTCAAAAAGTGCTCCTAAGTTTTCATATTTAGTTATTCTGCATTTTCTTTGCAATTGATAACACATCTGTGAAGGGGTACAAGTCTGTTAGACTGATTCTCTGACCTTACAATTCCCCTAAGTCTATAAATTGCAACGTCTCATCTTAAGTGGGGTCAGGGAACCAGACTACAAGAACATGGTTGGTTTTCTTAGATTTTCCAGCATCTCCAGTCCCAGAACCTGAAACAAGTCAGTTTAACAATATTTGCTATAACATACTAACCCTCCAAATCCATTTATTTTTGAAAATTGCAGCAAAAGCAAATGTTGTATATTCCTTAAGTGATTGAAGTTTGCAAAATTGAGGATTTTTTATTCGTGCTGCATTATTTTATTGCAAATACAGTTCTAATTAAAGGGAATATACATCATTTGCTTTTGCTGTAATTTTCAGAAATGGGTGGAATTGGGGGGTCGGAAATATAAAGCAAATATAGTTACACTAACTTTTTGGAGGTTTTGGGTTCGAAAATGCTATAAAAACCAAGAAAAACGATCATTTTCCTGTAGTCTGGTTCCCTGACTCCATATAAGAAGAAACAGAGCAGTTTACATACATTGGGGGAATTGTAAGGTCAGGGAACCAGTCTAGCTGGCTCGTACCCGTTTATAGGTTTGTAATCGATTGCAAACAAGTGCAATGGTCAATTGGGGCCAGTATTTGATAAAAAGCCAGTTGTTTCCAACGCTGATCGGCCGATCAGCGTTGGAAATTGATACAAAAATACCACTTTTCTTGAAAATGACAGTATACCAGGTGCCATAATTTTACAGGATGCTTTAGACTGTCATTTACCAACATCCTGTTAAGGTATTTCGCAAAAACTTGATAGTTTTATTTTTCGTTGTTTGCAAATGTTGTATATTCCCTTTAAGCAAAATTGTGAGTTGTCTTTAATTTGAATGTTGACAATATCTGTGAATATGTAGAGAACAATTTAGTGATAGAGAACAAGCAGTTGTGTGTTGTACTGGATTTAAACACTGAAATACGGTATGTAACTTGCAAAAACAGAACCTTAAACATTCCTCTCTTTTTTTAATTGTGACTTTGAGGGTCCGAGGTATATTATCAAAAAATATCGTGGTATTCGGTATACTGCTGGGTACTTTTCAGGGCAGAATATTATGACATCAAAATAAAACACGGCAGTGTGCATCTAGCCAGCGTGTTTTTGTTAAGGTCTTTTGCACATTTCTGGCCACATTTTAGAGAGATATTGAGGTAAAGAAATTTCGTACCAAGTTTTTGATAATTCAGTATTTTAACATCATCATTTGGTAAAGCTCGGTATCCAAAAAAATTGTCACAATAAGGTTTTAGGCCTATTGAAATATCGTCCAAGCCTAATGCCTAGCAACATATCAAGAAAGAGACCGGCGAAAAGACCATTGCTGAAAATATTCGCACGTGCATTCCAAACTTGAGAAGCATGCTGTAAACATCTACGCGGCCCGAGCCAAATGAATCACCATCTTCTATGAGCCTTACACATCATCTCAGCATCTCGGACAAACCGACGAGAAACCCATTGAGAATTGAGACGGCCAGCTGCCCTATTGTCAGACCCTGCTCTCTCCGTTTCCCCAACAAAAAAAACCTGGCTGTCAGCTCGCGTCGGGATCAATAACGCCATTCTAGTCTTGACAGTTCCGCAGAAATAAAAAACACTTGAGACTCCCATAATGATCTGTATAACTATTGCTTTTCTTATTTCTGCAATGTGCTACTTGCCGTAAACATATTTTTCGATTGAATTTTTGCAGTGGAAGATGTGAATGTTAATATCAGGTCTTGTTCCGTACACCTGTGAAGGGAAAGCCGATATTAAAATGTCAACAAATGTAATAAATAATGGTGTGATTTTAAAGGCTGTGATTCAACATTCACAAATTTAATTTGTTTCCCTGTACTGATAAAATGTGGCCTGTCATCACAAGTTCAGCTTCAAGTCTGGGTTTTTAAAAATTGAGATGTTTATTTATTTGGATTCAGCAGAACCAGAGCTTTCCAATGGTATGTAACGTTTAGGGTACTGAGTTCAGTAACGGTGATGTAGAACACCAACTCACTTGAAGTTGTAAAATTGATGCTCGGGAAAATGGCATTTAAAAATCCTGCATGTGTTTTACAGTGAATGAACAGTCAACTCATAAAACGGGATGAGACTAGGTCTTTAAGATGTTTGACAGAACAAAAAATTGGAGAAAGGTAGAAGAGGCTTTACAGATCAAGATTCACCTGGAAACAAAAATCGACTACCCCTTCAAATTTTGGCTTTGCCCCACTGCACAACAAAATGGCAATTTCCGACTTGCAATCTCATTCTGTGGTGTCGGATCACAAATAGTTTCAGTGGCCCATTTATGTCACTATCTGACCAAGCCATTGAAAAACTCCGTCTGTTGAAATATAGCCAAGTTTAAATCGTTATTCATCATAGAAGGTGACCTTCCTCTTCCGTAGTTTGAAAAAAATAATATCCTCACTGTCAACTGAAGATGATGCACACCTGCCTCTGTCTCAGCAATAGTTGGGCCACATTGCTTCGCTTCCAGTCAAATAAAAGTAGAGAAACACTGACAGTGAACGTTAAATGATTGTGCTCCAAGACACATTGAGACACATTTTGTTTTCAATCTAATGTGGCAAAAATGGACAGATCATGTCAAATAATTGATACAACCTAGGTAAGGGAAAATAAAAATGAAAGGTAGTAAATTGAATACATCCCTTTTAGTTAGATGAAAATGAACAATTCCATAAGTAAAAACGAAAGAAAAATAGAAAACTTCGAAGAAAAAATGTAGTAAAAGTTTGAAGATAAACTACCTGTCTTTGTTTTGATCTTCTTGTGCCTCAGGTTTCAAACGAATACAGTTTGCTTTTGGAAAGGGCTTTTTGGGGTTAAATGAATCACCACGTGCTTTTTTGAATTGTTAATACTAATTTAGTCTGTCATGCAAAATCACCCCCTCCCCCAAAAAGTCTTGATTTTAAGCTAGAGTGGGTTCTTTTTTACCCAAGCAAGCAAGCTTTTGAATTTTATTAATGGCAAAACCCAGTTTTGAAAATCATAGTTGCAATTTTAGGACAAAATTTGTACCAAAAATATTTTAAAAAGAATGAAGTTCTCTTCTGTAGCAAGAGTAACTGCATCAGAGAGGCAACCATTTGTAGCAAATAAGTAAATCATTCCAAAACCCATGAAAGAAATGAAACTCTGCCTCTATTGGGGGGGGGGGGCAATCAGGAAGGGGGGGGGGGAGAGATTCATTAGAATAGAGTGAGACAGGTGCTCCATGTCAAATTATATTTTTGACATTCAACGAAGCCAGTTTAGAAATCCAATATTAACACTTATAGGGCATTGAACCTTATGATGCATCAGTATACCTGATGAACAGACTTAAAGTTATAGATACACACTGAATGTATTTTGAAACATTCCTTGAAATATTATCTTGAGGTAACTGGATTTCCCCTAATGGGAGGGTGGGATTCTTAGTAAGGGTTACATACCTGATCGAGTTGCAGGTACATTTTTGGAGTCTCGGTTCTGAGTGGTGGAGAATGAATTACTATGAAGCAGGAAAAGTGCAGTTAAAACGACTAGAAAAGCCAATAAAAGCTGGTGCCAGACTGTGCAGAATTCCATTCAATTGATTCAGAAAAGGATGGGTTGAAATTGCCCTTTCATTTGCACTATGGGGTAATCCTATATGATAGCACTGCCCGGCTTACAAGTGACAGTCAGTCAGTCAGTAAGTTTGTGATTATCCATCCCATGTTACTTGCGACCAGACTTGTGAATGTACTTGTGATTTACTTATGAAGGGACTTGTGAGAGGACTTTAGATTTACAGACTTGTTATGGGACTTGTGACTGGGCTTGTGATAGACTTGTGACTGGGCTTGTGATAGACTTGTGACTGGACTTGTGATGGACTTGTGACTGGATTTGTGATGGACTTGTGACTGGATTTGTGATGGACTTGTGACTGGACCTGTGATGGACTTGTGACTGGACTTGCGATGGACTTGTCATGGACTTGTCATGGACTTGTCATGGACTTGTCATGGACTTGTCATGGACTTGTGATGGACTTGCGATGGACTTGCGATGGACTTGCGATGGACTTGCGATGGACTTGCGATGGACTTGCGATGGACTTGCGATGGACTTGCGATGGACTTGCGATGGACTTGCGATGGACTTGCGATGGACTTGTGACTGATCTTGTTATGGCTTTGTGATTCACTTGTGCCTTAACTTCTGAAATACTTGTGATATACTTGTGACGGGACTTGGGATGGACTTATGACTGGACTTATGAGTGACTTGTAACCAGACTTATGACAGATCCATCTACAACATTATGGTATGCCAGCCTCCTCTGCAAATGCCTCAGACAGTCAATATTGCCAACCGCTTTGCCTTTGCCCAGATGTGCCGACCACATACTTAACCCCATTGCCCAGTTTGCCGGTTAATTGACAGTCCAGACCCCATCCGCAATTCAATTTGGTCGTCGATTCTTAACCTGCGTTGGGCAGCGAAGTCCTTCACGTTTGACATCAGGTGCACAAACAGAGCTCCGAGCTTGATTCTAGGATGCATTTGTTGTCGGTCTACCAATGCATGGAGTAATGACACGGAAACGCACAAGTTAAAAATTGTATAGGTAGGCTGATTTTGGAGCTGCCACTCATCGGAGACATAGTGCCGTTCTCTGGAAACATGGTGCCGTTTCTCGATGACGACGGAATTTAGTTGTAGCTCAACTTCTCGTGTGAATGTTTTTCCTTCTTTGGTTGTGAAGATGTTGAGAAAATTGCAAGTTGCTGTTGAGTTTAGGTGTAATTCAATTAACTTGAAGCATCATGAAGTTTACGAGTTTTTTGCGGAGTGCTATGACCTTTAATGGTTTGTGCATTGAGCTCAGCATCTTATGGACGGCTCAGTAGATCGTGGGTTCAATGCTGGCCTGTTTGATTTGTTTCTCTACAGCTAGAAGTAAAGTGGGTTCCCTTCGAAGTCAGAAATGGTCATTGCTTTGTTTGTTTTACAATATTCTTGTAAAAATTTGGTGAGGTGTCATATTTGTATGAGTTCTCTCTTTGATGGAACATTGTAGGGATGTCTGTTAAAAAGATTTACAGATTGTTTATAAGATTGTGTGTCTGTTTCTGTACCGAATATCCATTTTGTAATAACATGTTTATTTACCACAAACTGTTATTAACATTGAGCATTGGACTTGTTTTTTTTTTACAAAATGCTTTGCAGAACTTTTTTTATTGCTATTATGAGCTATTAAGATGTAAATTTATAGAAGTAAATATAAGTTGAGAAAAAAACCTCAGATTAGGCCCCAAAAAAAAGGTCTCCGGTTTCTGGTATGCGCGCGCGTCGCCGTAGCCATGCGCGTCGGCAAAATGAAAACGTTTTTTTTTCAATAAAAGATGATGTCTCAAAACCGCCAAACTCACTGGTTTGACTGGAATCCTGCTGCTGCACAATTTTAACGTGTTTTTAGATGGGGTTATGATCGAGAATAAGCTTTATGTGGCCTCTCTGGACTCCCATATATTTGCACTAAGTTTAGTCGGGCACCATTTGCAGTCATCAGCCCACATTTGAAGCAAAAAAATCAGGTAAAAAAAAAAAAAAAAACGCGTCGCCGCACCACTTTTTGGGCAAGCTCCATACCAGAAACCGGAGACTTTTTTTTTTTGGCCTTAGTAATATTGTGTAGTTGGTTTGACAGTGGTCAAAATCGTGGTTGTCAATCTGCAAGAGTGTCAAGTGTGTGACTTGATCCCTTAATGCTTGTTTCTGCTTTCTATTTTTCTTAGCCAGACTTTTTAAACACCTTACGATCAACCTCTGTTCTTTTTTCTTCTTATTAGGTGATCCAAGAAGCTCTGGATGACCTACGACCCCAGGTTGACCTCTTGAAGACCCGTCAGAATGACCTGCAGGCAGCGGCCAGCGAGAGAGAGCGCACCGCTATCCTGGAGGTGATGGAACCGGCCGGCCAAGACTGGGAGCGGGTCAACCGAGAGTATCGGGACAGGCATGGGTGAGTTGGATAAAGTCCTAAAATAAAAATACAACATTAGGTTCAGTCAATAGTATACACATATTGACCGGCAGTGAAGTTACTAGTGCACGTCTATGCACCCTGAGGGACTGTGCATGACCACAAGAGGGTCCTATTTTGGCAGTGTGCACCCCTACGTTCAGTCAATAGTATACACATATGGACTGGCAGTGAGGTTACTTGTGCACGTCTATGCACCCTGAGGGACTGTGCATGACCACAAGAGGGTCCTATTTTGGCAGTGTGCACCCCTACGTTCAGTCAATAGTTTACACATATGGACTGGCAGTGAGGTTACTTGTGCACGTCTATGCACCCTGAGGGACTGTGCATGACCACAAGAGGGTCCGATGTCATGAGACCGAAGGCCCCCCTTTTTGGCAGTGTGCACCCCTACGTTCAGTCAATAGTATACACATATTGACTGGCAGTGAGGTTACTGTTGCACGTCTGTGCACCCTGAGGGACTGTGCATGACCACAAGAGGGTCCTTTTTCATGAGACCGAAGGCCCCCCTTTTTGGCAGTGTGCACCCCTTGGACAAAAAGGCTACTATTTTGGCTGGTTTTTGTGTCTTTGACAGGCAAAAGAGCCACCCAAATTATTGTTTGGCCACAGATAATTGGAAATTTGTAAAGAAATGTTCAATATCTAAGCATTGTTTTTTGGTAAATGTCTCATTCAAAAGTGAATAACTTTGATATTGCTAAAAAAAAAATTAAAAAAAAAGAGTCTGTTTTAGGGGCTGAAAATGAAACTTTTGACAACTGTGTGTAATTATTGGGTTGGTCCTGCAGACGGTTTGAGTTGTGCCTTGAGCAGTGGAGGAAGTTCCACTGCGACATGAGGGACCTGGGCCAGTGGCTGAACCAAGCGGAAAAGATCATCCAAGACTGTCGCAACTCCTCCGGCCGTCTGGATATCAACAAAGCACGCACCCGGCAACTGGTAAGTCCTGCAGGGGCCAATTTCACGGCGCTGCTAAGCACAAAAGTTTGCTTAGCACAAAAAAGTCTGGCTTATAAAAGCAGGTTACCAGCCAAAACTCCATGTGATTTATATTGCTCGTGATTAGTATTCAGCTGTTGTTTGCTTAGCATAAAAAAAATCACATGGAGTTTTGGCTGGTAACCTGCTGTTATAAGCCAGACTTTTTTGCGCTAAGCAAATTTTTGTGCTTAGCAGCGCCGTGAACTTAGGCCATCTAGAAATGGAGTTATGAATAATATTCAGTCAAAAATATACCAGTCAAAGCAAAGTCAAATCACAATATAAAGGAGATACATGTAAGCAGTGACGAAGAATGCCTATTTTTTTCAGAGTTCATTTGAGGAACTTTTCACTTGACTTTAGAATGGATGACCTGTGATAGATTTGTGATTTGACTTGTGATTGACTTGTGGTGGACTTGTGATTTGACTTGTGATGGACTTGTGATTGACTTATGATTGACTTAAGTTTGACTTGTGATTGGCATATGATTTACTTGTGATTTACATATGATTGACTTGTGATTTGACTTGTGATTAACTTGTGATTGACTGGCTATTGACGTGTGATTAACTTGTGATTGACTTGTGATTGACTTGTGATTAACTTAGGGTGGACTTGTGATTGACTTACATGTATGATTTACATGTGATTTACTTGTAATTGTCTTGTAATTTGCTTATGATTGACTTATGATTGACTTGTGATTGACTTGTGATTGACTTGTGATTAACTTAGGGTGGACTTGTGATTGACCTACATGTATGATTTACATGTGATTTACTTGTAATTGTCTTGTAATTTGCTTATGATTGACTTATGATTGACTTGTGATTGACTTGTAAATGGCTTGTAATTGGCTTATGATTGACTTATGATTGACTTGTGACAGACTGGAAATCACATATGATTGGCTTGTGCTTGACTTGCGATTGGCTTATGAATGACTTTACCTTATGACAGAGTCTAGAGGAAGGCATCGCCAACCACCAGAGCATGGTCAGCTCTCTCAACAACAACGGCGAGACCATCATCGCCCAGACCTCCACGCCGGACGGCGGCATGATGAAGGACAAACTGGACGGGCTGAACGCACGGTGGCGGTCGGTCTGCACGGAGGTCACGTCATGGAAGGAAAGGTGAATAACGCCCTCTACTGGTGAAAAACACCACAAGGTTTTTTTTCAAAGTGTAAATGAGTCTTGAAGGTTTGTTGTGGCATGTCTGAAGAAGATTTTGACAAATAATGAAAATTGCGGATTTCTGTTTGTAATTATGAGCACTTTCCCGAATGTACTATCTAACACCAGTGTTGGTCTACAGCAGATAGCATATACACACATCATGACTACCTACAATGAAATGTATAAACATCTTTTTGCAGATATTCAAAATTCAAAATTAGCCAAAATTCATTTATCAGTACATTTTTTTTAACAGGGGAAAAATGAAGAGTGTTATCCCAAATTTTGTTTTGTTTTTGGTTTTATTTTTGCATTCATTTTGTACATTTTTCCATTTTTCACCGGACTCTGAAAGCAAAATTGCGAGCATATCAACTTGATCCTTTTTTCAACTAAAGCCAAAATTCATTTATCAGTACATGTTTTTTTTTAACAGGGGAAAAATGAAGAGTAGCATCCCGAACTTTGTTTTGTTTTTGGTTTTATTTTTGCATTCATTTTGTACATTGTTCCATTTTTCGCTGGATTCTGAAAGCAAAATTGCGAGCATATCAACTTGATCCTTTTCTCCAGCAAAAAAAAATCTGCATGAATCTTTCAAACACCTTCAATGCTTTGCTGCCCACTCACTGATGATGAATGGAGTTATTGTTTATGCCTGAACATTTTTCCGAAAGGAGAGACAGCATTACATCAGCGTGTCTCCATAGAAACTGTGGAATCCTTTTCCCCACCGGAACGGTCTGACTTCTCTGTGACAGATTTAGAGGCCGATAAACACCATTTTGTTGATTACGAACACATTCCTGACACCCTACCGACGACGGAGGGGCAAGCGATTGCGGAGGTTTTTTAATCAATGACTTGCTATCAATCAATCTCTCATGATCAGAGAAATGATTATGAAAATTGTAGCTTTGAAATATTGCGCACTGCAAGTTTGTAAAAAAGAAGAAAATAACAGAAGAAAAAAAAAAAAATAGATACATGTATGTGAGACATCCATGCCTCAATTTCTTGGCTCTGAATATTTGTAAGTAAGGAGTTGTTTATTCAGAGTGGCACACATTCTGTGTTTACAGGAAGCATATTTGACAGGTTGGTCTTATAATTAGGTTTTAGGTTTTAGGTTTTAGGAACAACAAAGTATCAGACAAAAAGCCAGGTGACTGTTTGTGACTAGTTTTCAGCCGATTAAGGGGAGTTCAGGTTGGCGCAATTGTTCTTTCCTCGCCTTTCACCTCTACAGTCCAGGTTCGATTCCTGCCAGAGTCCACATGCGCATTGTGTTTTTGATCCCTACCTGATTCCATTGGTTTCCTCAGAATATATTCTTGTGGGGTTTTCCCCTACTCCTGGGGTATCCCTTTCTTGTCAGAGGTAGGGTTTTCCCTACTTCTGGGGTTTCCCAATCTTGTCGTGTCTCTTCTGGCATCTTCAGGCTTGGGAGCTGCAGTGTCTTGGGCGCTTTTTAGGAATCCTTGGTTTCGTTACCAACAATAAAGAAAATAGTAATAAAATAATAATATTTTTTTGCTCAGCAAGAAACCTTAATGAATGCTAGAGCATTTGACAGGATTTTGTGCCACATAGTGTTTTCGTATCGGTGATGTATTTAAGACGACACTAGCAAAACAACATAGAGTGTTAGGTGGTATCATACTTTAACTTTTAAATTGCTAACTTCAGAAGATAAAATAATCTATATTCAGCATGTTGTACTGGACGTTTGGATTTATTGTAAAATCAATGATTTCTTCTCTTCTTTGAAGGTTTCAAGATGGTGGTGAACAGCTGGAAGGCTACAGGGAGGAGGTTGAGGAGCTCCAGTCTTGGCTGGATGAATGCCAGGGCCTGATGGAAGGCCCTCAACCGATACCGGGAGATGACCAGTCTGTGCAAGACCTCCTGGATAAAGTCAAGGTGAGTTGTCCACAATTGACACAAAGAGCTCTGGGTGCTCAGTGAGCAAAGGCTGTCTGGTTTGATGTGGCGTGTGGTGTTATGTCTTTGCTGGATGAACGCCGGGGCCTGATGGGAGACCCTCAACCCATACCGGCCTGTTTGAAGGCCCTCAACCCATACCGGAGATGACCTATCACTGCAAGACACATGCCTTGGCCTGATGGAAGGCTTTCAACCCATACCGGCCTGATAGAAGTCCCTCAACCAATACTGGGAGATGGCCAGTCACTGTAACACCTCCTGGATATCATCATTTTTGTTGGTCTACTTCTTAAAATTTTTTTCGGACTTTCGTTAACAGGAACGAGAGAGACAGCTGCCGTCCAGACGGGACATCGGCAACCATGTCAACAAGTCTGGTGAAGAACTCCTCAGCAGTGGCGCTCTCAGCGATAATCTGGTATCGGACATCACCATGGAGCTCAAAGAAGTCAATGCTCAACTACAAAAGGTACGAGAGATGGATTGGTTCTTTTTGTACAGCTTAATTTTTTATCTTTATCTCAGTTTTTCAAAATCAGCCAAAACCTTGAGATCTAGCACCATTTTTAAGACATTTTAGTTGGTAATGCTAAGCAAAGATATTATGTGCTTACAAAATTATTTGTGCTTAGCTGATCCAAGAAAATGGACTCAGCAATTTTGAAATACTCAGAAATATTTAACAAACAAAAATTTATATTTCTTTTTTGATCATCAGGTATCCACAGCTCTCCCAAGGTACTGCCGTCAGCTGGAAGACAGGCTCCTTAGCACCAGGTCCTTCCTGGAGGAGTTGGAGGAGCTGGGCAAGTGGCTGGGTGCCACCATGGACCTCCTCAAGACACAGCACGGGCCCGTGGGCTCCGTCACGTCGGATGATGGAGATGATTCCATTATCGTGGACCCCAAGGTACCCTGAAGAGAATCTGGTTGAAGATGACATGAGTACTTCTCAGGATTGGTTTCTATATGTTCTCTAGCAGCCACTACTACAAATGTTATTTCTTGATAAATATTTTGTTTTACACCAGATTTACTTGACATTTTCTCAAAATCTTAACATTTACCATGTGAGAGGTTTTCACAGGTCACTTGATGCTTGACACCAAAAATTCATTGTTAGGGAAAGTGATTTCTGGTCGGAGGAAATCAAGGCAAAAGTCCATCACAAGTCCTCCAGTCCTAAGTCATGTACCGAGCTATTCAAATGAACTGCGGCAAAGACATTCCTTTGTGATTGTTCATCCCCAATTCTTGTTGCTAGACTAATGGTGGACTTGTGGTGGACTTGACTAAAACTTTGTTCTGTCCTGCCATTACTACAGACAATGCAGCAAGCCCTAAAAGCCCGTCAGGCCAACATGGACAGCGTCAATCACACCGGTGACCGCCTGATACGCGAAGCTCGCGCCCTGGGTGCGGCCATCCCTGACCCCTTACAGGACAAGCTGGATAAGCTCAACTCAGACTGGGCCAAGATACAATACCTAGCCTCCAGACTCAAGCCTGCGTCAGAGTTTGATGTCGAGCAGCGCAGAATGATGCAAAGAACAGGTCAGTCAAAATAGTTATGGGTTCCATGGGTTCCAACAGTTAAAGAGTGAGAGTTGGGGATGACCACTGGGACACACATCTCCTGACACTGACATGAAGAATCTCTGGGCTTGTGAGCATTCAGAACAAAATAAGTCGTGCGTACTTGCACGCCACACATGCACACAAAGTCTGCACTAGTAAGCAGGAGGTCGTGGGTTCAAGTCCCACCCGACTAAGCTTGTGAACTTTCTCTTGCAAGTTCTCGCACAGTACTGAGAGTAAACATTACTTATGAAATTAAGTAGACTCAGAGCAAAACCCAATATTAAATTCACAACTCCTGAAACACAAGATCTATCGTAGTGATCAGTCAAACTCATCCCAGCCATGGACATATAATAAAACCTAGACACGACAGTTGGTATCGCGTCTGTGAGCAAAATGCTGTGCGTATTGAATATTTCAGTACTCGTACCGTACGCGTCACGCAACCAATGATCATCGGCTGCACGCTTACCCGGTACGTACGTGCATGTATGCGCGTGATTCGAAGCCACATGACATTCGCGCATCGCTTATAACGTTTCGTCACAGGCCGCATGATGCAGCCTGTTTTGCTCACACAATTCACAACGTGTAAAAGCACTAAATGTCGTGTCTAGGTTTTATTAGATCTCCACGATCCCAGCTGGCTTATGGTAAGTTGTAAATAGCCCCCTCTGTTGGCTACGTATTGCCAGTCTACTGGTTATTACATGCAGGAAACTCGTATTATGACTCATTTTTCATCATTATAAATGCCCCAATGTTGAAGTTGGTCAATTTGTAATGCAAAACTAGGAATCCTGATTCAAATCTGATGTCAGAATGTATCTTTCAAATAAAAGAAAATGTACACAGCACACATAGTGCCTTCCACATGATGCAACGGTAGTTCCTAATTGGATTTCCTGTGTGGCTGTTTGTTGGGTTCTTGCGACTTCCCCTCTGAAGAAGGCACGGTGGAAGTTGTCTCATGAACCCGCTCTGACGCGATGAGGTCACGCGTTAATACACCCATGTACTACATGCGTGTCTACTGACGAACATGTGCGAAAACCACGCACAAAATCGCATGTGATTCATGGTCATCGCGGATTAATCATCGTCACTCGTACGTAATCCAACCAAAAAAAAAGGATGAGGGTCGTTTAGTTGAGGGGTTTTATAGTAAAGAGCGCAATGAAATGCACGGTGGATTTTTTTGTTCGGGTGTTTCTGTATAATCCAACATGGCCGCCTTGTTTCAGTTACTAAAGGCCCATTCCTTGTTGGTTTTCCCCGTAGTGATAACAGAAACCTCTGTCACGACCACGCGATCCGAGGTACAGCGGTCAGCTATGGACGCAGCTGCGCCAGCAGAGGGCGCCTCGCCGTGGCCCGACTTTGACAAGGTCGTGGCGGAGCTCCGGGATTGGCTGACGCTTCTGGAGCGGATGTTGCGGCTTCAGACGGTCACCGTCGGCGACTTGGAAGAAATGGAAGACATGATTGCAAAACAGAGGGTAAGATCCAAAGTGAAATATTTAGATTCATTGAAATTTGGTTCTTAATGAAAAGGTGCCATGAATATTCATTTACTAAGGGGTGGGCCAATCATGAATATTCATTTGCCTAGGAGTCAAAGGCCAACCAGGAATATTCATTTGCTTATGGGTCAAAGTTAAACCATGGATATTCATTTGCTAACTGATCAAAGCCAACCATGATTATTCATTTTTTTTGTGGGGGGAGGCCAGCAAACTCATGAATAATCATTTGCTAACAGTTCAAATGCCAAATCATGAATATTCATTTGCTAAGAGGCAGAGACCGATCCATGAAACTTAAATTCTTCATCAGGCTGATATGGGATTAATTCACCAATGAATCGTAAAGCTTTTTTATCCTTTATTACAAACTTCATTGCAATTTTTATTTTAAAAAAAGGCAATTGACCAAATTTGTCGGAGGAATCTGTTGTTTGTTCCAACCTCAATGCATCAGATGTCTGCAAAGCCACTCATCTAAGAAGCTTTTTTCTAACGAAACAGCTCTGAAAACTAGTGTTATATAAATACGCTTCAAAGGATCTTTACTTTGAAAATATTGTTTTGAAAAGCAGCTCCAACAAATGAGTTTTATCCTGCAAGAAAACCATTAGTACAAGAGTAGAAATTCTCTTAATAAAGTTGCTTGTTTATGCAACATTTTTTAAGGGGAAATTCACGTCTCCATTCCCACCCCATGGCATCGGAACAGCTAACTTGTTGATTTTATTTTGAGCCAAAAACCCTGCAGTTAGCTTTTTTTTCTCTTGATTTTTTTTTTAGTTTTGAACCATGTTAGAAAAATGTTCGTCCAAACCCTGCACATAAAATAAGCCAGCTTTTTGGTTTTCCTGTATTTTATTTGCCTTGTTTAGGCAGCAGTCTCCCGATTGAATGTGGTTTTGATTTTGACCTTCCCAGAGTTGTGACAATTTGTGCGATCTTTTTTTTAGTTTGGCAGACGTGGTATTTTTCATTTTCAGGAGGTGTAGCTTTTTACTTTGCAGTTGTACTCTGCATCCTAAAGTCGATTTAATGAACTAAATGTGCATAATTACTGTTAAAATACCCTTCAGGAGATTTTTTTTTGTCGTTAGTCTTAAGCTAAGAAGACACCGGACATAAGGGAGACATTTCAATGTCCCCTAATGTCACAACTCCTATTTAGAGGCAAAATTTTACTTGTCGCAAATAGGCTAGATCGAATGCTCGTGGTCCAAAACATACATGTAAATATACCAAACTTTGTGGGATAGGATAAGTGAAAACTACAGTAAGGGGTCATTAAAAGTTACGAAAAAAATTGTGCACATTCCTATGGGGATGTTTCCCTCGTAGGGTACCATTTCGCATAATAATAATTACTTTGGTTATTGCAAATCAATTTAATCTGCATTTTACACTTTTATTGATATTTTTTTTTTTACATTCACCCCCTTCAATTTTTTTTTTTTAATGGAAAAAAACATGGCATTAAAACAGTTTAGACAGAAAGTTGGCACGTTCCAACAGATTCCAATTTGGGCGTTTTTAGATATTTTAAGTCTAAACTTGGCATGAAACGCAGTTCTTGCTCGTGCTCGTATCCTCAAGTTCTTCCTGTTATGATCTACAAAAAGGTCTCGCGTTTAAATTTAGACCTCCTTTGGCTGTTTTTGGTTGAAAGATAACCATCTCGGGACCAATTTGTGCAGAAACCAAATCCCACAGTGCCAGCAGTGAGCCGAAAATAGATCAACGGAACAAACTATTTACGCAGCGAAATTTTCCGCGCGTATAACAGTAGGTTTCTATTTTTAAACCAGTGTGAAATAAACAGCATCTGGTGTTTGTAGATTTTAATGTCAATTACAGTTATGGAGCCGTGTTAGTTCTATCTCAAAGGCATAGGATCATTTGCTTTTCATGCATTTTGTTCGTTTCCAATAATAACACCACTCAAAATCCAAACACGAATGTTCAAAACCGAACCTGTTGAAGTTTCAGCTCAGTGGATATAACAGTTGTCAAGAAAACTGTGAGAAAAAAAAACGTGCACAACCTTTGGATCATGAAACACGGTTTTGTCCATAGCACTCTCTACTCCAAAAATCCGTTGATTGACTGATCGTTGGAAATCACCTACATTGCTTAATTTCATCTAAAATGACAGCAAGCCAGACGGAATAATGTCATGGGGTGTTTAATACCAGTACGATCTTTAATCCAAGTAAGCTTTTCGATAATAATTTGGTAGGTCACTTTTGGGATAAATGCAAATGATCCTATATGCCTTTAAGAGAAGTTTACTTTTCTTGGTTTTAAAAATGTATTTCAAATTCATCCAAAAGAAAAATTGACAATAGCAGGAAACATTCTATACCTTTAAATGTAAGTCCACCTTCGCGTAAAATAATAAAAGTTTTGAGAAGAGCCAACGGAGTTTAAGCCTATATTTTAGATCAGTATTAAAAAAAAAAATTCAAGAAATACAAAGTCAAGTGCAAACTCATTGTCTTAATGACCATTGTCGGTCGTTTTGCTTTAACCATAGGAAGTCCCTTTTGAAGCTTGTTAAGTTGAGAGACTATTAACTTGTTTAAAGAATATTATGGAGGAAATGCATTCCTTCCTGTGCACTCTTCTTAATTTCACTCAATTTTTTTTTGTGGTGGGGTTCTCCTATTGGAAGACGTAATTATAGTTCTTGTGTTATATTATTCAGAGCTTTGAGTTTCATGCGTACTTTGCAAATAAGTGAAGATAGTTGAAGTCTGTTTTCCTAAATAAATTTCAGATTTTTAAATTTGATGTTGACATGTTTCATTACAGGTTCATACAAGTACCAAGTTTCACTTTTCAAAGACAAAAATAGTGAAAATGGTGTTTAAAAGTTTATTTTGATAATCGGACCGAATTGTTGAATTGTGCATATGTGTGGTTTCCGTTTTGGTATTTTATGCATGCAGGTTAGTTTGTATAATCTTTTTAATGTTTAACGTTTTGGCGACTAATGTCTTGATGAAGGCTGCGCTAAATAGCAGGTGTTGGTTATTGCTGTCGTATGAAGAGTGTCGTAGCTAGCTTAAAATGATCATTTAGACAACACTTCTCCTTTTCATCTCACAACATACACGACATCATTCACGACATCATCCACGACATCACCCACCACCCGTCACGATCGCCGCTCACTCCTTTGTCATGCTTTTCATCAGTTTCACACCAGATTTCCTCCCTTTTTTTTCAAAATGACCCCAAAAATAAAAAGGTAAAACCATTATGGTAAAATGACTAACTTATCTTTAGATTCATTTATATCGTCATTATAACAAAAGAAGTTTGGAAGTTTAATGTGAGCAAAAAAGTTGTGTAAAATTCATCGCAGTCTTAAAAGAATACCGGAGTTTTCAAAAAAGTTGAACTAAGTTTCAGAATAAGTTTTAAATGACTGTCTTTCTGAAGGTCGACCGCTTTTTAAAATCTCACAACTTAAACCTGCGTCCATCTTTCTGCTTTTTGATCGAACCTACCACCAAAACTTGATAAACAACTCATATGTAACAAAATTAGTTTGATAAGTTTCAAGTTAAAAGAAATTTATCTTATTTTTTTTCTCTCTCTGTATTTCTCTCCAATTTTTTTTTGTTTTGTTTATTTGTTATCCCTTCGTTACCATCAGGAGATCTGGTCCGGGGTGCTACCCTTATTTTCTGCCCTGGCCCCCAACGACCGGCAACTCATAGGGGGCCTGGTGGTAGATATAGTCACCATGCTAGTACAGCTGGAGGTCGGTTGGTTTGTTTGTTGTCTCTTCTCTCCAGTCAGTGTTGCCTGGCATGTTGCCTGGCAACATGGCATCCCAGCACATTATTTTTAAATTTTTTTTTCAATCTTTCTTTTGGGTATCAGCTCGCAACTCGCAACTTGGCTTGTTTAATTTGGTGACTAAAAACAAATTTGGGAGAAAAGAACAAGAAGAAGAAAAAAGGAAGAAAAAAACTAGAGGTTAAGGTGAAGAGAAACAATCATAAAGCACTGTATGAAAATTGTCTTTTTTTTCTGATTTTTTTATATTTTTTTAAATTTTTTGCTAACAATCTCTCAAGGTTTCTATTTGTTCGGCATGCTAACATCAGTAACAATTCGAACAAAGAGAAATTGCAAATAATTTTGAGTTGTTCTACAGATGAGCTACTAATAGTGCTTGTTGGAATGCTTTGAAAATTGCTTGACATGGCTGATTAGAAAAGATTTACTGGTTGCGTAGTTTTCAAAATGGGAGCATATGTTGGCTTTTAGAGTTGTAGAATTCGGGCATGCAACTTTCCTCGGATCAGCTGACTTCCTCTTTTTAACTTTTCCTTTACTCCATCAAACAACCTGAAAAACAAAACGCAGTAGAGAAACTTGTAAAGCTTGACTTTTCCTCACTTTTTTGGTGACTTCTAGTTTCTAGTTGCATGCCTGAGAACTCTGAGCAAGTTTTTTTTGTTTTTACTATCGTGACGGTGCAGATTACTTAAGTAAGCAATTTGTACATGTATTTTGCATGGTTCGTTTGATTGCACGGTTCAAACCACATGCACACACACACTCAGCACATGGTCATCCGCTCTGTGCACAATACTGCATGCTGATTGGCTTATAGTTCAACACAATACCTGGTACTCTGACTTCCCTGGTTACCAGACCCAAGTTGCTGGCTTTCTATATAAAAGTGGAAAGCAACATTTCTTTCTATTTGAAGTGAACTGAAACTGGGGTTTAAACATTTGAGTTGTTTTTAAAGAATATCGGGCATACGGTAGGTCCCATATTTACTACTCCACCCATAGACCCATAAATCAGAAAATTACACCCAACTCATTATCAACGTCACAAGCTATAATAGAAAAAAAATTCCAATCTACAGTATATAAATAGTCTTTTCTCAGGAATCAATGTTCCAACTTTCTTCCAAAAAGATATCTTTCGCTCTCAAATTTTTTAATGTTGGTTCGGAGTGGTTGATATTGGAAAAAGCAGATGTTAGAATGACACATATTCTGTGACCTAAAATGTCCGTTGAAAGAAACAATGTTTCTTATCAGTAAACAGTAATACATGAATACGTCCCTACTTCAGACTTAACTAATAAAATGGTTGCCAGGGGTTAGCATTTATATCCGAAGAATCTCAGATCGGAAACGAGTATCACGATCACATCTCGTTGTCAGTGTGTGCACGGAGGGGATATTGCATGCCTTAATACACATCTATCATCCGCACTTCATCTGCACCCCCAGCACGGATTCAATTCTTGCACTGGGGTTATCACAACTAGGGCATCTCAGGGTGTTGTCTGAGCAACATTCAGGGGCTTTACTGCCTGCATAAGAAAAGCCTAACTTCAGGCTATTTTTTGTGTGCAAGAGTTATCAGGAACGAACAGCATGTTGATGACTAATGTGGAATGATTCTAGCAGCTATGTTAACTCTTGCTTCGGCTGGTGAAAACTTATTCGCTGGTAACTTTGGTTTTAATAATGTCGCTTTGGAAAGGAAAGCAATATTGATTTCTACATGTAGATCTACAGTTACTGCAGACTTGTCAAGTTCATCAAAAGCCAACTGCAAGACAATTGCACGTCCAGTCACAAGTCACAGTTGTGATTGTCTTGTGATTGACTTGTGATTGTCTTATGATTGACTTGTGATGTTGACAACTCCAGTGGTTAGGTGGACCAATCACCATTTTGTCTGTAAAGTCTTGAGAAAAGAAGACAAATTCGGAACTAGAAATCTGTTAACAAATTCTCAGCCACTTCAATTTGTGAAATTTCTCTTTGGGACGAATCTAGCAGCCGTTGTTGAAGGGGCACTATGTCTACGGTCATATGGTCAAATGTGTAATTATTTCCCATTTCGAAAACTCCCAAATGGGCGTGTACCCAAACGGGTATTGAAAACACCCAAATGGGTGTGTACCCAAACGGGTATTGAAAACACCCAAACGGGCGTGTACCCAAACAGGTATTGATAACTCCCAAATGGGCGTGTACCCAAACGGGTATTGAAAACACCCAAATGGGTGTGTATGTCTTGAAGTGGTTGAAATGGGCGTGTACATCTAACTTTCTAAGGCTTGTGCTTGGGCCATTCTACTTCTACCATTCAAAGAGTGCTTCCAGCCGTTGATCAAATTGTTGTCACTTTTTCAGTAATCCAGGCTTCAGTTTTCCCTTGTCCACCTCAATTGCGTACAAGTCTGTGCTCAACAATTGTCCTGGGGAACATCAAGTGATCAAACCAAAACGTGAATAGAGTTGTTGCAGTCCTCGATCAAGGTTTAGTTTACGTACAAAAGTTATAGTGGCGTAGATTTTTAATCAAGCTTTGTAGTGTGTGCCCTAGTACTACCTGGCTATACTTGAATTATGGTAATTGTCTTGACGTTCCTTTGTCAGCGTTGGAGCTCGGGCTACGTACAAATAATTTGGCTAGAACTTACAATATTAACCTATGGGCCTATGAGAGTGGCCACATCCACGTCCTAAAGATGTTTAATTATGTTATTGCCGGGTGTAGCCAAATCATTCTGATGATGCAGACTTAGAAGGCATGAAGCTCAGCGTCTAAAATTGAAGTTTTCAAGCTCACCAAAGAAAAAGTTTCAAAATGGCTGGTCGGCAAGTCTGTATCAGCTTAACTAGTTCACGCCGGGATTATTTTGACAAGAATGGAATGTGGCGCGGGATTTATTTTTACTCGACCTCAAGCCAAGCGGGTTGAAGCCATCACCCTCGGGCAGCACACTCATATTTACGTCCTCAGTTGCTGAGCCGGTCGCCGAAAGATATTTCCGGCCTTGCTCGTTGCGTGTTCATCTGTCATCCGTTCCGAATACCGCAAAATCTTTGCGTGTATACACGGCCTCTGGTGCGAACTGGTTAAAGGCATATAGGAACATTTGCTTTCCATGCAGTTTGTTCATTTCCAATAATAACACCACTCAAAATCAAAGAAGAATGTTCAAAACCTAATGATATTCATAATACAACCTTAGCAGAATCCCAACACATCCGGGCATATCCGTAGGACATTTGTAGCAAATTCGGAGAGATTTCTACCATGAATGAGCTACGAATCTCCAAGAATATGTACAAATAGTCACGAATAACACCACAAATCAGTACGGTTGTCCTACGGATGTCCCACGGTTGCACTATGGATTGATTTTCGAGACATTTCACCACCAAAGTTTTGAACAGTTTAAAACGTCTGTAGTCCCTCCACGAATACCCAAGGAAGATGACGGATAACCACGGATGTACTAAGGATGAATACAGCACTCCCACGGTTTATCACAAATTTCAAACCGTGGAGTTCCGTGGCTCCAAACCGTGACAGGGGTTTAACCTTTTTGATAAGAATTTGGCAAGTTACTTTTGGGATAAACGCAAATGATCCTAATATGCCTTTATTAACTTTGAAGTAACACGCAATTAGGCAGTTCACACCAACACGTACATGGGTTTCACTGCGTCAACTTTACTTTCCCATTGCCCCAGAAAAAAAATCTGCTTATTATTAGAAGACATGGGTGTGGGCTTGTTTCTTTAGCAGTGCAGTGTGTGCAGTATTTTCCTTTTTTTTAGGATGCTGGCCAACCGTATTGTTTTCAGCTTTCGGTGGTGTTGGTGAAGGTTCAATTTTTAAGTAGCTGCAATCATGTTTGCTGTTTCGCTTAGTGTATATTTTTACTTTTAGGTAATTCACTAAGCGTGTAGATTTGAGTATACATGTAGTATAAGAAAGCCTTTGCTGAAATTAAGTGAATAATAAAGCAGCCAGTTCTGCGAGTGTCACGAATACATGTAGAAATTCGATTGCATAGATACAGGTGATTTCATTTTTCTTAAGCTAAAATTAAAAATTTCATGCCTCGTTTTAATAAGCAATTTAATAATTGGTCTTGAGAAAAAAATGATATTTTTAGATTCTTGTCATGCTGCCAGTTTCAGTTTCCTGAATGGAAGATGCAGTTCTTTTTGTTACCATGGTGACAGCACTTAGCATCCCAAGAGATTTGGTTCTTGCACTTCAGATGAAATCAGTGAGGGGAAAAAACAGCCCCCCCCCCCCCAAAAAAGGGGAGGAGTCTAATTTGCAAGATCCTTTTCTAAGCATCGAAGTACTATGTAAGATCCCACTTCATGCATAGCAAATGATCCAGCCACTTGCTGTTGGATATTGGCTTTTACTTGTTTCTGGGAACAGACAAATGAAAAGTAAAAACTCTACTCTTTGCATGTTTCCTAACGAAAAACTTTCAAAATCGGCAAAGAAAACCACCCTCCCCTACTGATTGGTTGTCATCTTGTTTAAGGTTCTGTTGCTGTGCCAACGGGCCCAATTATGCAAAGAATTTGCCGGCAAATTGTCACCTTATTTTGCAGATATGTCCTGTGAAAGTAAATCCATATCTTTCTATCACGTTTATTTTTGCACTGATTTCATATGAGTTGCATTGCACTGGTTGGAAAACACCATACGTTCAGCACTCTGCACCGTGTGTAATCTGTGACCCTGACCCTCTTGACCTGTAGTTCGTTGACCTGTGACCTCTGACCTTTTGCCCTGTAGTCTCTCCTTCAAGACCTCGAGGAGAAGCATCCACAGTTGGATGAGCTGGTCAGCCGGGCCAAGATCCTGCAGCTGGAGTCGCAGACCGAGGGCAGCAAACAGTTGTTGCAAGAGAAAGGTAAAACTGAAATCATTTGGCTGTGACTTTCAATATCGCATCGGTCTATGGAAGAGGCTCAAGCCCATTTCCATACAAACGCGGGTTACTGCCAGCATAGCCAAGGAATGGGAGGCACAGTGTGTTAACCACTTGCCTCTAACTGCTGTGGCCACAGGTTCCATTCCCGGCTCAGGTCATATGTGAGTAGAGTATATGAGTATCATAAGTTCCGAAGGATAACCCGTCGCAATTTAAGACGATTCTCGAAAACGATTTCAAGAAACCTGCAACGAGTTTAATGCATCGAAAGTTCCATGGCAACGTATCGAAGCTACGATTGATCGTAGCCCTGCGGTGCATCCTAAGTCCTACAATTGATCATAAGTTGGATGAGTTGAGTGAAATCGACCCCAGGACCCTTGGAATAAAAATAAAAAATAAAAACATGAAGGTTTAAAGTTTTTCTTGCAATTGGGACATTTTTAATAATCAAAATTTTAAATCCTTACATTTGTGCCTTTTTTTGGGTCTTCCTCAGTGGACAAGTTGCTGGACCTGTGGAACAGCGCCTCCCTCCGTGCCAGCTCCCGCTCCCGCAAGCTGGAGGCCATGCTGACGGACTCGCAGCAGTTCCATGAGCTGACCGACGAGCTCTGCAACTGGCTGGGCAAGATGGAGCAGACGCTGGATGGGTACGCGCCGGTGGGCGACGAGGTGCACGCCCTGCAGGGCCAACTGGAATCTCAAAAGGTATGGTGGGGCACAAGGACTTGAGGCCGACTCGTACATTATATTAGGGGGGTGTATCAACTATCGAATATTGAAAATGCCATACTGTTGTTAACATCCATCAACCAACCAAGTTTCAAGTTTGCTTCACAATAATGGGGAAGAGGGTATGGACTAGTCAATATTGGAAAATATCACACTGTTGTTAACATCTATCAACCAACCAAGTTTCAAGTTTGCTTCACGACAAATTGGGGAGGGGGTATGGACTAGTCAATATTTGAAAATATCACATTGTTGTTAACATCTATCAACCAACCAAGTTTCAAGTTTGCTTCACAACAATGGGGGAGGGGGTATGGACTAGTCAATATTGGACAATACCACACTGTTGATCAACCAACCAATTTCCAAGTTCGCTTCACAATAGTTTAAGGGATTTATTTTTGCTTCACAATGGGGGGGGGGGGGGGGGGGTGTGTCCATCACAAGTACCGTTAAATGTAAATCACAACTCAATTTGCAAATCTGGCGAGAAGTACATTGTATTTGGAGATGAACAATGACATGTTGGCGCTATTCATGGTTTTATATCCATTTAGAGGGGTTTTTTGGGTGGGGGTTATATTGTATCTTTTCCTTTTTCACAAATAATACTTTTTGACAAGAGGATGTCACGGGGGGGGGGGGGGGGGTGCATGGATTAGCTTGGGGGGGGGGTAGATGATCATATAACCCATTCCCAAAGTTTTCATATGACCCTTTCCCAAGTGATCATATGACCCTTTCCCAAGTTGACAACACTGTAACTTTTTTTTTAGTGATTAGGAAGTCAAGGGGGGTGTGCATGGATTAGCTTGGGGGGGGGGGGGTAGATGATCATATAACCCATTCCCAAAGTTTTCATATGAACCTTTCCCAAGTGATCATATGACCCTTTCCCAAGTTGACAACACTGTAACTTTTTTTTTTAGTGATTAGGAAGTCAAGATTGGCATGATACATGTTTGTGTTTAAACTTACAGAATCTGTTTCTGTTATATGTGTTCTACACATCAAACCTCTGTCAAAAGTAAAACAGAAACCTTTTCAGTGTTCATTTTCTGAGTAACCTTTTGCACGTCATGTGGACGCAATACATAATGGAACATTTCAGTGTTTATTTTCTGAATAACCTTTTGCATGTCGTGTGGACGCAATACATAATGGAACAGTGAATAGCAAATGACAGTGATTGTATGTACGGCTTCAGTTAAATTAAGCTCAAAGCATTGTTCGACCTTGTTTTGTCAAAAGTCTACTGGTACATCCCAGCTTGGTCCCTAAATTTACAGAATAGCCTAGAGGGGGCAATGCTTGGCCGGCCATGGACGGAGAATTTTTGTGTGTGGGGAGTCGATAACAATAGTCAGTGTGGGTATAAAGGATTGCTAATATGGTTTTGTCAGGAAAATATTTCAGTGATGTCAAATTGGACTGCTAGATGAAGTTAAAGCACCACACGGTAGTGGTATAGGACTTTTGACCCATATGTTTTAATTCAGCTGTTGGAAGTGTAAATACTTCAACATCAGTATCACATTAGGAGTGTTGGTGTGTGGAACAGTTGGTTTAGTTTATTTGGATGAAATATGCTAGTTACATGTATGTACAGTAGGCCTGGTATGGTAGATACAGTTGAAGAATTAGAAGGTGGAAGTGTCGAGTTTTAGACCCATATTTTTTCGGAAGTGGATGTTGTTGTACATGTAAGTATAATATATTTCAAATTTGGAATGTGGGTGGGCAAAACTGCTGGCTTGGTTGATTTTAAAGGCATAGAGGATTGTTTGCATTTATCCCAAAAGTGACCTACCAAAATATTATCAAAAAAGCTTTACTTGGAGTAAAGATCGTACTGGTACTAAAACATACACCCCGTGGAATTATTCCGTCTGGCTTGCGTGCTTCTTTAGAAGAAATCAAGAAATATAGGTGATTTCCAATGATCAGTCAATTTGACTGATTTTTAGGATAAAGAGTGCTACTGACGAAATCTTGTTTTGTGATCAAAGGTTTTGCACGGTTTTTCATTATTTTCTCAAAAAGAGTAGTATCCACTGAGTAGAAACTTGAACAGGATAGGTTTCAAACATTTTTCTTTGGATTTTGAGTGGTGTTGTTATTAGTGGAAAAGAACAAAATGCATGCTAAGCGAATGATGTTATATATCTTTAAGGAAATATGCCAGTTATGTACATGTAGCTCTGGTTTGGTAGGTGAACATGTACAATGGAAATTTCAGATGTTGAAGATATTGAGCAGAACATTTTGGAAGTGTGGTCATGTGGAACTGCTATGTATTCATATGCTAGTGTTATTTAATTGGTTTGACAAGTAAAACTGATATTTAAAGAGTTCGGGATTTGCTGGTGAAATGTGGTGATACCTGAGTTACTGCAAATCAGTCAGCACCCCTGGCTTATAAAACATTCAGATTTTTAGAAAAAAAAACACTAGGAACTAGACAAGTTCCTTACTGTATTTTAGTTAAGGCTGAACTTTAAATTGTTCTTGTCGCCAATTTTCTCTTGGAATTACCATTAAAAATGTCTCCGCTCGCCTACTTGTATATATGTGTGAAGTATAATAGTTCACAAATATACAAGTAGGCGAGCGGAGACATTTTTAATGGTAATTCCAAAAGAAAATTGGAGACAAGTTCAATTTGAAGCCTGTAAGAAAACAGTAGGAATTACTGGATTCACTTGAACTTGCGTTAGATTTGAATGGTGAACTTTGAACTTTGACCCAGGCTTTCTTGGAAGAGGTCGAGCAGTGGAAGCCATGCATCGACGCGGTGAATGAGTCCGGCGAGCGACTCATCGTCGACTACAACGCCGACGACACCAACCGCATCCGGCAAATACTGGACAACGTCCGGGACCGGTGGACGGCCATATGTGACAGGTGAGGGTTGTGACACATAGGGTGACAGACACCGACATAGATGGTGTAGGAATGAGCCCCTTGCCCCTTGAACCATTATGCTACCTTTGTGTTATTTTTTTCAATGAAAAAAAAAAATCCATAAAATTAAAGTTTCATATAAAATTTAGGGAAAAATTGATTCAGTATTCTTTGGTACTGATTTGATGCTTGTAAAGGAAACTGTAATTTATGGAGTTTCTGTCTCAGAATTTATATAATTTGACCTCAAACTTGCAATTTACAATCTCTGTAAATCATAAATAAATCATAAATACCCAATTTCATCACTGATTTGCACAAGGATGTCAATCGCTTCTTAAAAGTGTAGAGACATACGTTGATCAGAACTAATGCGAGCGCGAAGCGTGAAGCCCTAACGGCGTGGGCCCCGAAAAATGTTTGATTCTAGACGCTGTGGTGCGATCTGAGGCAATTTCTGACCACTTTAACCAATTTTTTTTTAGCAAAAGAACATCTTTTAAATATCAGATGTGAGTTTGGAGTCATATGTAGGCTACCATTTTTCTTCGGGGATGAAAAAAGTGGGTGGGGAGGGGGGAAACGATATGATATCCCCCCACGTTTAAAAGTGGGGGGGGGGGACCTACCTATTGTCGCCCATGGATTCACATTATAAAAAATAAGCCAGTTAGTTACAAAAGGTCAGGAATGACATCACCAGAATCCTTCAATTTGTTTTGTTTCTGAAATCGAACAACGTCACTGGTTGCTGTATTCACTGTTTAATTGAGGCCGTTTGACTAGTTATTTTGTCAAAAGAGTACGTACAATCGGAAACCTTCAAAGCAGTGTATAATTTCTGAAATCAAAATGTTTCCTCAAAGATGACTAGCTCCGTACCGTATATGCAATCTTCACATTATAAGTAAAGTAAAGTAAAATCTGTTCTCTGGTTTCCTTGGCATGAAAAGACTGAGAATATTTCAATTCCCCTTGGACAGGATGCCAGTCCATTGTAGGGTACACTCCAATTAATGCTGGTACTCCTGTATGGGCAGTAGCAAACGTTGGTAAAGTGGCTTGCCCAAGGACAGAACATATGGCCAGCAGCAGGATTCGAACCCCTGACCCTCCGTTCACGAGTCACAAACTTAACCACCAGACCCCACACCAAATTGAACACGTACACCAACTTGAACACCGTTTTTCCCCCACAGGTCCAACCAGCGATTGCACGCCATTGAGGAGACACTGAGATCCATGCAGGACCTAGCATCTCAGTTGACGGACTTCTTCCTGTGGTTTGAGGAGCTGGAGCAGCCCATGGATTCCCTACAGCGGGACACAGATAACGAGGAAGCGCTGCAAGACAAGGATCAGGTGGAGGTCTGGCTCCAACAACACGGGGTAAGTCGGCTTCTTAACCTCATGCTTGAAAGTTCTGCACCCACAAAAAAAGAAGGCCGCGGAGTGCCGTGGCCACGTGGTCTGGAGCATTGCATTCGTGGTCTGCGGGTAATTCTGCAGGTTGTGGGTTCGATTCCAGCCTGGGTCATGGTGTGTGTGCCCTTAGGCAAGGCACTTTGTCACTCATTGCTTCTCTCCACCCAGGAGTAATTGGGTACCTGTAAGGGCAGAGATGGTTATTGTCGTTGATTTTAGCTGCTTTTGCGCCGAAATGGCAGCATCGAGTTGTATACTCCCCACGGAGCTGAGATGGTATTTGGAATGTTTCATTGGCCCAATGAGCAGGGTAATAATGATGTAGCGCCTTGGGCACCAATAATGGTGGATATGTACGCTTTATAAATACCCATTATTATTATTATTATTATTATTAATATAACAGTGTCGAATGATGAAATGATGTGGTTTCCGATATGTGTCTTTTCTAGCGTTTTAAGAATGTTTTCTGAAAGGATATTAACCCTAACCGTCCTCAATCCTCCAGGTGGTTTTGGAGGATTTAGGTTTGAGGATGAATGGCAAAAAAAGGTGTCGGTTGATTTTAGAGGATGTATCGCGTCGCGTTCGTAGGCTGTACCCAGCATTGTTCAAGTTAAGCCATGTAGAATTGAGCCCTGCATTATGCTCAATATCATCCGCACCGGTTCTGAATTCAAACAAATTCAAGAAATAACGGATGATTTTGGAGGATTGAGGCTGAATCCAATTTTTTGCATGGTGGCAATTGGAGGATTTTGTTGCAGGATTGACGATGCTAGCCAAAATGGCCTAGGGAGTTAGGATTAATGTAGTAATACTTTTATGACTCTAACCATGTCATAAGTATGGGGCTGTTCTTACATTAACCTAGCCAACTTTACATCAACTGTTTAACCATGATTTTGAATCTTACGTAAATGTATCACCTTTTCAATGTTTGGAAGTTTTTTTCTGTCTGGGTTGAAAATTGGGTTGAAGCTGCATATCCAAAAAATAGCAACAATGTCGACGTTTCATTCTAAAAATGTGGTGCATACATTCTTATACCTCATAGGGCTTGGAAAATGGTCTGAATAGCAAACTTCTTCAAGCATTCGTTTGCAGGGATATCTTAAAACAACCGTCTGACCAGCTGTTAAAAATCAAAACGGGTTTGATCAGTCACGTTGCCGAAATCCATTTAACATTGAAGAAAACCGTAGTTAATTATTGAACCCTGGCCCGCAGGCAACTCATGAAATAAAAGTCCTAATGCCAGTCCTCTCAGGAATGCACTGCGCTGTTAAGCAATGTAAACAGAGGGTGATGAGGAGTAAAGCTTAGCCTGGGAGTTGGAAGGATATGCGATATCGCTTCAATTACGCTGGGACCGTGATTGAATTTTGGTTGGATTTCCTGGGGACTTTCACAGCAAAAAGGCCAAGGGACAACGTTGTTACTTGAGTTAAAGGCCTTTGCTTGCAACCCCTGGCATGGTTAGGGCCATTTTCCAAATCGGAGTTTGTCTCCAGCTTTAGCTACATCTCTGGTTCCTGAATGATACTGTAACACAAATGTTGGCGGGTATGTGCGCTTTATAAAAATATATGTGCACTTTATAAAAATTATTTGTAAAATATTTTTAAAATGTTTTTAAAAATACGGGATTAAAAATTCTGTATCGTCCAAACAAAATGGAGATTTTGACCTTGTTAATACAATTTTAAAGGATCCTGAAGCAGAACTGTAACATGGATCAGAAGTCCGTGGCCTAAAATCTTTTGAAGCCACAGTCGGTTAAGTGCCGTGGTTTAGAAAATCCTCCCTTGGAACCTTGTCTGGTAACATGCAGTCGCATCCCTTTTTTTTTCCAGACAAAATATTGTAAACAATATTTACCATTCAAGCATAATTGACTCCGATTTTTAATATTATTGTGTACTGGTACATTTGTACAATCTGATGATTTATTTTTTTGACAAAAAGTTTTTTGAGCGATGGAGTATCATCTATATATCTTTCCAAAAACTTTCCAAAATGTTGGAAAACTGTTACTTAAACTCTAAGTGTATATCAGCAGTGAGTTAATCCCTTGAAATATTTTCTGCTTATGAAAAGTCAAAGGTCTAAACATCAACTTTCCTCTGTTTACATTGTTCCGCAACCTTTTCAAAATCAGTCATTTAGTAAGTGAAACAAATGAACAGTGACTGTCAGAGGGGCTGCAACAGCTCGTAACTCAATCAAATCTCGATGGCATTTTGGGAGGGCATACTTTCTGATGTTTACGACTGCCAGTTATTTTGAGAGAGACATTAAATCTTCCGAATGCCAGATGCCTGTTATTTTTGTGCAGTGTGTATAAAGGGTGACCTCAGATATGTGGGTCATTGATAGTCTCATTCCAGCCGCAGAAGTGGGACCCTCTATGGTGCTGTACTAACTAGTCTCCGTGGACAGGCTGAATTTTTATCTGTGTAGTGTGTGTATTTATGGTGACCTCAAGATATGTGGGGTCAGGTTTTGTGGACTAGTCTCATTCCAGCTGCATATTTTGTGCTCTGCATGGTGCTATACTGACTAGTCTCCCAGAACAGGCTCGTTTCCTTTCAGCTTGATGTGTTTCAGGAATGGAAAACAAGAAAATTGAGAAATGCATTTAAGAAACTGATGTTTATTGACGTTTTGCGAATTATAATGGGATATGGAAAGATTCCTTAAAGGTAGAGTAGTTCGTTTGCAGCTATTCAAAAGGTAACTGACAAAAATATTGATGAAAAGCATCCTTGGTTTAAAGATAGTAATTGCAATAAGCTCTCTGTATTCCCTCTGACATGCCTTCATTTTGAAGAAAACAATCAAAGCAAGCCATTTCCAAAAATGCGCCAAGTGACACATTTTTGGAAATTTCCATTAGTAGTTAGTTTGAAATTTGGCGAATCCATGAATGGTAGCACGCAAGTGCAGACACGACGCACACGCATGCGCGGTTACTGTTATTCGTCGGTTCAGTGCATGACATCGCATAGCTGCAATCGGCTGAATGAGAATGTGTCTCAGATGCTGATTTTGGATGCAATTCAAAACAAGACTCAGCAACTTTTGAATTGAATTTGAGATCCTACAATATTGTTTTTTTTTCGGAATGTAGGGAAATTCACAGAGCTAAAACTTCATCAGGTTAGTTGCTAAGCACCCTCCTTAAGATTTTGAGCACTTTTGTTGCTTCAAACAAAACCATGGCCAAAAAAAAAAAACTGCGGCGAATTCTCATTTCATGAAGTAAAGAAAAAATTTGTGTTCAAGAGAGTGTCGAGAACTCACAAACACCACAGTACTTTTCCCCAAACTTAAGTCTTTGTCGCAATTCCACAAAGAGCCACAAGAACGAAATGGTCTCTCATCACTAATCTTGAAATAAACAGGCTAAAAAATATAGGTGACAGGGTTCACTGCTGGTGAGTCATTGGCGAACCACTCAATCAAATATTTACTGTACCTTTGGGGAAACAGGCAAGTTTGCTTTATCATATCATGATAAGAAGGCGATCATTAATGATCATGTTCAGATAATTGGTCACTGATCGTGTTTGGCCAGAAACATTTTATGGTTGCAGTCAGCAAATTTACGAGGTCGCTATCTGTCATGTTAGTCTGGTGCTGGACGCCACATTACACTCAAACCTTAATGGTCTTCTTGGAACGATACACGCACAAATTTTGTCTCATAACGTCAGGAAATTGGGTTGTTTCTATGTATTTAACCAGATATTTGTCAAAGGGGCAATCTATTAAATCGGTTAAAAATTGTTAACAACTTGATAACTTTACCCATGAATCAGTTAGCATGTGTGTACCGTATGCATAGCTCCATGCTGCAAGTAATTAACCGAAACAATCCAAACTTTGTTGCAATTTGTTCAATAAAAGTGATCAGTAATGCCACTTTATATTCATTATTTATAAATTATTAATGAGGCATGTTTTATGTCCTTTGTTTCCATCCATAAAAAGCATGTTTTTCAGTAGAAAATTCATCGCGAAAAAAAAAGTATTTATTGTTCTCACACTTTCTCCCCATGCTTTTATTTTTGCTTTTGTTTTGACAAGGTTCAGTGAAAATGAATAACACTTTTCCATTTTACAGATTTTCAACCATATTGATAAATAATTTGCCTTTTTTTCAATCATCTAGAACACATTCCTTCATAATCCCAGTGATGACATTGCCAGCTTTTCTTGTGGTTTTGAATTCCAAACCTCTGACTCAAACATGACAGGGTCCTGATTTTTTTGAAAACCCCTGTGGATTTAAGTGGACTTACCCAGCCATCATTCCCATGTGCACAAAAGGCTGTCACTTTGGGCTGATTTAGTATCACAATGGGGGTGTTTAACAACACTAATAAAACAAATAAAGATATTCTCAATTTTGTCCAACAAGAACCGTTGACTCATATTATTTTAGGAAGAGTTTGTGAAAATATTGGATGAACTTTTTTGCCACCTTAATTGTCCCAACTAAATTGTGTGCATTATTGTTGCCATCAATATATTGCCATTATTTTTGACAAGCATTAAATTAACAGACATTTAACCAAAAAAAAATTATAGACCGCCCCTTTTAAAAAAAAAGGACACCCCTATTGATTGATATGGATTTGCCGGCCATCATTTCCATCTGTACAAATTGCTGTGGCTTTGAGACAGTTCCTTATTGAAAAAGGGGATGTTTCCCATAAATTAGTCTGATGAAACAAAATTCAACATATTGTTTATTTCCATTATTTTTTAATGAATTTTTCTATGTACACGTAGATTTTACAAGGACGCAATCAGCCAAAATTATTTCCACAGATTTTGTGAGGAAAATTCCAGGAATTGTATCTGTTACCTTAATTGCCCGAGTCAACTGTGTGTGTATTATTCTTGCCATCAATATATTACCAGTATTTTGACAAGCATAAATTTTATTGGCATAA